GGGGACAGGGCTGGCGTCTGCCCTGGAGGTGAGGCTGGAGTAAAATGGTCCGACTGGGCGGAGGGGGAGGCAGAGGGAAGGAAAAGAGTTGCGATGGAAAAACGTTTAGGATCTTTCTGGTATTTTGGGGATGGAAAGAGCAGCCCTTGGTTCGGCATGTGAACGTTCGCCGCAATGTTTTTTGTAGAAAAGTGGCACCAGAGACCTTGGCACCAGCCAGGGAGGCACTGAGAAGCGGTGTGTGTCCTGGCACAGACCCACTGCTTCTGAAGGGGTCATGATTTACAGAGAAGCCCTGTGAAGGCAGAGCGACTTGCCCACGGTCATCCCACAGGGACGCCCACATCCTTGTCCCACCGTCATGCCCAGCAGAACATCTCCCTTCCCCAGTACCAGGGCCCCTCTACATGCGGCCGTAATGTTTCATAGCCCACCTATGAAAAACTTAAACCACAGCTAATTAACCAAGAGGACCAGCATGATGAAACCTCTCCAGTCCCAGAGATGGGGTCGGGAGAGCGAGCGCTGCTGCTGCCTGGGATGCCATCCCGGGACAGCTCTGTCACACCTGTGCGTGGCTCACTGGGGACCGAGGTTTTTTTTCCCTGGATCCTGTGTTGCAGCAGCCTCCAGCACACAGCTAATGGAGACGACAGCCCTTCGGCCCCTGGCAGGCCCCGATTGCCCCTGGGCCACGGTCACAGGCATCCTCCCCTCTACATGCTGCATCTCCCGCGCCTTGGAGGGCTTCGAGCAGCTGCTCTGGAGGCAAGAGCCCCTTCATCTGCTGTTCCCCTGGCCCGCTGAGAAGTGGCCCAGGCTCCAAGTGCCTGGGGTTACAGTTAACTCCTCTGTCCCCACAGCTCTGCTGGGGACAACCGAACGCTTCAGGGCAGAGCTGAGCTGGGGGGGACCCGGACAGATGTTTGGAAGGACCCTGCTCTCCCCAGGCTTTCTCCTGAAGCCCTGGCACAAAGTGTCTGCCCCAGCTGCCCTCTCCTCCTGGGAGGGGAAGCAGAAGGAAGGGCAAATTTTGTGTGTGCCTGCGGGATGTTTGCGGGGACAGCTCTAGCCAACCTCTGTGTGCACGGCTCGGTCTATCACACGGTCCATCTGCCCTCGCCTGCTGTTCCCATGGACTCGGCTTCCCATGCTGCAGATACGCTGTGTTCAGTAGCTGTGACTGGTGTCTGGGAAAGAAAAGCCATTTCACCTGTTGCCACTTGTTGAAAGGAAATGAGCTGCAGGTGTTCAGTTCTTCACCACATCACATTGTACAGAGACACACCTAGGTACCAAAACCAGCTCTAGCCCTCAGTAGGGATTTACCACCCTTGTGTGACCCAGCTGCCCCGAGAGTGCCCTTTTAACTACGTTTTTCTGCTAAAACAAAGGCTGAAGACAGGTTGCGCACACACATCTCAGGCTGTGAGATGTAGGACCTGCCTATTTTTAATCTCACTCGGCACATTTGCAGTGGGGTCGCTTCTTGCCCTGCTCGGTTGCAAGAGAAGCACTGCTCAAGCCCCAGCACACCGATGTGCACAGGCAGAAACCGGGGTAGGGCTCACACCGCCTCGGAGGACAACGCTGTGTCTGCACAAATCGCTCCTCTGGGACAGACACCAGGGGTTCTTACCACACTGCTTTATATGCATTTTTATATTACAGCTATTCTACAACCTTCCTGCAGCAAAACATGGTGCCTTGCAGGTTGGCACGGGCTGAGGCTCCTCTCCCTTACCCTGCATCCTGCAGAGAGCCATGGGGAGAAGACATCTAAAAGGCTCCTGTCCTGCCAGAGTCCCTGCGTGGCAAATACTTGCTAACCCCAGCTTCCATACCACGTTCCTGCATGGCCAAAGCTTGCTAACCCCAAGGTCCGAGTGAGGCAGCTCTTTGTAACCCCAGCTAAGCAGCTCCATGCAACAAGATTTCACAGGAGCGTTGCAAAAAAACCCCCAAACCCGCAATGCTGCAGAGCAGGGTTTTGCAGGTGAGGGGCAGAAGGGCTGGGGAGCGCTGCCCTCCAACCCAAGAGCATCCCTACCGGCTGGCCCCAAAGCCCCCGGCCGGGGAGGGGGGGACGGGGGGACGGGGATGGGCCCCTGCCTGCTGGGAGAGCCGGGAGCCGGCAGGAGGGGCTGTATAACGCAGCCAGGCATTGGGTGTGTGGCATGTGCTGCTGGCTGAGCTCCTCCAATGGCTCCACTCACTGCTGGAACCCAGGACTGCAGGGGCACCTGGAGGTGGGACCGTCGAGAGAGGCCCTGCAGCTCCAGCATCTCGGTCTGCGTCTCCAGCAGCTCAGGCATCTCAGTCTGCAGCTCCAGCATCCCAGTCTGCAGCTCCAGCAACTCGGTCTGCAGCTTCCGCAGCTCCAGCAACTTGGTCTGCAGCTTCTGCAGCTCCAGCATCTCATTCTGCAGCTCCAGCGTCTTGGTCTTTGCATCTTCTGCACCTCCAGCATCTCAGTTTCTGCGTCTTCTGCACCTTCGGCAGCTCAGTCTCTGCATCTGTTGTAGCTCCAGCATCTAGCTCAGCATCTCTGCACCAGTGGCTGCTGTGCCCTGCAGGTCTTGGGCCGGGGCTGGCTGGGAGTGGGGGTCCTGGGTTATTGGTCTGCCCAGGGAGGCCAGCGGTGGGGAACAGGGGAGCCGCTGCCCACGGCGGCTCGGGGGGGTTCCGGCAGCCTGAGCCTGGGGAGGCTGCTGGGACACCCCAGATGTAAGGAGCTGTTTCCAGTCCATATCACAAATCAAAACACGCAGGGCGTGCTGCGCAGGAGGGGGCTGGCAGGCAGCCTTGCTTGTCCCAGCTTCCTAATTTTACATTGCAAAGAGGTTTTCTTCTGCTTTTAGCATAATACTGTAAACCAAAAAGCCTGGTGCTCCCGATTCTACCATAACCCTGCTCTAAACAAAAAAAAAAAAAAAAAAAACCTCTCTGCGAGTTGTGAAACTCCCGCAGGGCTGGCTAATTAGTGAGAGGTCAGGTCATCGAGGCAGGACCCGCTGCAGCAACCAGGAGGTGCCTCACCATGGCCAGGTCACCCCTGGTCAGGGCTGAGTGTGGGCAGCGCTGGCAGGGATGGCCCCGTCCCCATCTGGCCACAGCAGGGTGGCCCAGGTGATGGCTACAGCCAAGGTGCAGCATCCCCTGTGGCTGCATCCATCACGCCCGTCCCTGCTGCGGGCCAGGTGCCACCACGTTGGGTCAGCTGCTGAAAGTGAACTTTCTTTGTATTTCGTTCCCTCCAGGCAGAAGCCCCGTTTTTCCCCAGGAAAGGCCTCTGCCTTGAACTGCTCCACGCGTCCCCGAGGCGCTGGGCGAGGAGCAGCCGCACACCTTTGCAGAGCATCGTGATGGCAGCACGAGGTACGTGGCTGTTTGCTGAAGAGCAGTGAGAGCAACCTGACCCACCTGGCCGGCAGCAGCGGGGTCCTGCCGGCATCTGCCTGCCCTCCCCACTGCCCACCCCCGGCCTCATCCCTCACCGGGCTCCAGGAGGAGGATTTTGCCTGCCCGGAGGTCGCTGTCATTGTGCCAGTGCCTGCGGGGGACGTGGCAGCAGGATGCCCCGGCGAGGGGTGCCCACGGGGAGGCTGGGCTCTCCTTGCTGGCACCTTCCCCTCCTCTTCCCCGGGTCGGGAAGGGGCTGGGATCACTGGGTGCGATCCTGCATCAGCCTGCCTGGCCAGGCTGGGCAGAGACACACCATACTGTAGAGCTGAGCTTCTGAAAGCTGGGGGACCCCAAACTGCCCGGCTGCCTTGGGTCTGGACCAGGGTGGATGACTCTTTAATCCACCAAGCTTTAAGATCTTTATTTATTGTGTTTGTGTGGCTGCTGAGCAGGCTAAACGCTCATTACAGCAAGGATGGGCTGTGCGAGGGGAGAGTATATCACTGCAGTGCATGCTAAAGCACAGTAAATACCGCCCTTCTGTGCTCTTCTCCCACTCCTTTTATTATCTCCTTTTAATGTGTTTATGGTTTTTATTTCAGTGGATCAGCTGTCTTTTAACGGCTGTTGTTCTTTTCTGTACTTGGACGTGAGAAGAGCTGTTTTATTTTTAGTTACTCATGCTTGGTAGAAACTTTAGTGGTTAAATTGTCAGGAAAATCGTAACACCAAATATCCTGACACTGCCAGGGGAGGCTGGAGAGCTGGGAAGGCTCCTCCAGTGCCAGGACGCTCCAGATAAGGATGGAGCATTGAGGAGGGAAAGCAAATGCAGTGATAAGGGGTCTGGGCATAAAACACTGATACCAGGCACTACAGCATTTGAAGTACAGGAGAAAGAAACCCAGACCTTTTCCAGCTCCATTTTGCAACAACGTGTTTATTGGGTATGCTTAAAAAAAAAAAAAAAATCAAAAAGAGAAAAGAGAAACCCAAAGAACTGCATAGACTTCCCTATCGCATGCTCTACGCCAAGGTACAAAACCAAAGCTACTTTGGACACTGGATCGGTTGTTGTAACTGTAGCCGTGCCAGGAGGTTGTACGTGTAAGTGCTTGGGGCGAGGTGACACAGGACCCACACGAGACCCGGGAGAGCGGCACCGGTGGGTGCGATGCAGCTGCACAGATGCCCGCATCTGCCTTCTGATGCATGCAGCCGAAGACCTGTTGTTTGTCCGCCTTTCCTAGTACGCGAGGAGCCGCCTGCCCGCCTGCCTGCAAGCTCACCACGGCACGGATGCGACGTGCTGGCTGACCGACAGCGGTTTCCCAGGTACACCTCCTGCCTTTCTGGGAACTCGCCCTCTCCCCGTGCCCTTCCAGCAACCAGCATCCCTTCCAAATCCCAAGTCCCTCTTCCTTGTCATCTCCAACTCTCACCGGTTCCCGGCGGGCTGCGTGGGAAAGAGGAGGAAAGGGGTGGGAGGCAGCAGGGTTGGTTTTGGCCAAGGCAGCGCCTCTCCCCACCCAGCCCACCTGAGTTTCCAGCCGGTGCCGCTGCTGCCGGTGCCGTCCTCCCAGCCCCGGGTGGCCGGCTCAGCACACCGAGCAGCTGTTGGTCTTGTTCATGGGAGGCCTCAGCGCCTGCTCCGTGGGCAACGTCTCCCTCCTCTTGCAGAGCGCCGGGCTGAGCCGGCTGGGGAGGTTGGCTTGCTGCAGCAGCTCCCTGAAGACCTCCAGGACGTTCTCGTTGTCCTTGGCCGACGTCTCCACGAAGCGGCTGTTCCAGTCCAGCTCCACCAGCGACAGGGCATCCTCCGCCGGCACCTGCCGCTCGCCGCCGCTCTCCGCCTTGTTGCCGACCACCACGATGGGAGGGAACTTGTCTTCCTTCACCTCCAGGATCTCCTCCCGCAAGCTCTTGATGCTCTCGAAGGACTCGGCGTCATCTACGGCGTAGACCAGGGCGAAGGCATCGCTGTTCTGGATCGAGAGCTTCCGCATGGCCGGGAAGGAGTAGCTGCCACTGGTGTCCAGGATTTCCACCTTGACCGTGGCCCCGCTCACCTCGTACTCCTTGCTGTGCAGCTCCTCCACCGTGCGCCGGTGCTTGGGCTCGAAGGTGTCCATCAGGAAGCGACGGATGAGGGCTGTCTTGCCCACGCCGGCAGCGCCCAAGAAGACCAACCGCACGTGGTTCTTCTCCTTCACCACCAGGGACATGGCTGGCGCAGAGGGGATGGGATGCTCCGCAGCTGGCACTCACGGGGGTCCCTGGGTGGCCGCTGCCCCGGCGTCCGTCCGTCCGTCTGTCCGTCCTCCCCTGCACCAGCTCAGCGCAGCCAGGCAAGTTTGGTGCCACCTCCCTGCAAACTTCTCCCGCCTGTTCTGCCGCAGATGCTACCGTCCCCAAGTCCAGCTCATCTTTTATCCTGGTTCCTCTCTGCCATGTGGCACCAGGCTGTCCAATCTCCGTGGGTTGAGGGTGCTGAAGGAGGGAGGGCAAGGAGGGAGGAGAGCCGGGTGCTCCGGGCCAATCCGCAGAGCTCAGTCCTGGAAAACCACTCCAGCCCTGGAGAGCACCGCGCTACATTGCACATCGCACATTACGCTTGCATCGCCCGCCGCTGCCGGTAGCGCTGGGGAGCCGGCAGCATCGCAGCCGTCACGCTGTGTGAGCCATCCTGCCCTTTTGTCCTCCCTGGAGATTACCGTGTGTTTCTTGGTGCGGGCTTGCTGGCAGCAGGGGAGCTCGGTGGGGGTCTCCCACCCGTCGGGTGGCTCATGGCCAGACATGGCAGGGGCTGGCCGGTGTCACCCGCAGCATTTCTCGCACTTATCTGGGGCTGGGGACTTGTTCGCAGACGGGGTTGCTGCAAACGTGCCCAACTCTTCCGTAAGCCTATGAAATATTTGACCTGAGCGGAAAAATAAGATCTTCCTGAAACCCATGCGTCATAACCTGCACGTTCAGCTGTCAGTTATTCTGTGATTTTATGAAATAGTTAACCTGAGGGGAAGATAAAATCCTGAAAACGATGCAGCGCAAGCTCCACGAGCAGATGCCGAGCAGTCATGGGTAGGAACTCTGGCCGTGACCCGGCTTCAGCAAAACTGTGACCCAGAACGGTTGGTTGACTTATCGGGTGGAGAGGTGGGGTGCTTGTCAGTCCCTGTCTCCGTGTGTCTGGGCATCACCTCGGGAAGCAGGTTTGCTCATAGAGGTGCAGGTTGCCCTGTCCAGGCATGTTTCCTCAGCAGTCACCTCCCCTATTTCATGCTAGAGTTGTTTCAGAAGCTGATTTCTGCAAAGTGCAAATACAAAGGGAACTTGCTCAAAAGTTAAAGTAAGTTTTTATCCTAAATTTGTGCACATGTGTTTTCTTCTAGCTTTGGACTAGTTTTTGTAGGTTTAATGCAGTTGGTTTTCTTTCCGTAGCAAAGTACCTCTTTCAGCATTTAGTTCTGGATGAATTTATTCTGTTGATTTCAAAAGCCCTTTTTAAAGAATTATTCCTGCCTCTTAATTCCCCAATTATCGTTACATTTTAACCACATTAGGAGGTTTCCCTATCTGATCTCATTATCAGCAGAGCCAAGAGATTGCATAAGGGTGAGCAGAGTCCTGTCCTCGGCTCAGCCTGCCCTGGGAGAAGGGGAAGGCTGGGTCCCTTTAACTGGGACTGGCAATGGGACTGGTGTCCAGAATACCCAGTACACCATGGCACCCGGTGGGGTTTTGCACCATCCAGTAGCGTGCTTTCACTTGCACATGTGAAGCTCTTTCTGGAGAGACTTACTGTGCCATGAGGCGAACACAAAGGCAATGCCAAGGACTGAGCCGCAGGAGTTGGAAAGAGCTGAGGACGCAGGAGATGTGATGGCATGGCCCCAGGACTTCAGAGGGCCCAAAACCAGGAGAAGGGGTGGATGAGCAGAGGGTGCTGGGTGTAGGCACATGAACGAAGCAGTGGTCGCCTTTTGGTGCCTGACATGCCATTGACATCAGTGGAAATGAAGGACCAAAGGCAGCGAGGAAGTAGGGCATGACAAGTAATCTCACCCCAGTTTTGGAAGCTGTTTAAAGCCAAAAAAACATTTTGGTTTTTAATTAGAAGAGAATTTTGTTAATGCTTCTTTGTGCTTAGATAGCCATAGTCACAGGGGTTTTCAAGAGAGGAGACGAAAGGAGTTTCTCGCAGTTCCTCCCAGACGACGATGGCAAAGCTCGGCAGGGCTCAGCCGGCTCTCAAGAGGTGCCGGGGGCCTGGGTGATGCCCTTGCCTCTGCTCACTTTCCCAGTATTTCATCCAAAGAGCCTCAAAACATGGATCTGTTCAACTTCACTAAACCCAGCATCTCGCTTACAGGTGCCCAAGGTGAAGGAGGAACCTGTGGCAGGAGGGAATGGGGACCCCGGTCTCCAAGCTCCCCGTCCTGGCTCTAAACTGTCTCCCTGATAGCCAGCATCCTGCAGGGAAGGAGCCGTGAGCTGATGGACATGCTTGGAAACACCGAGCAGCAATGCTAGCCATGGAGGGTTTCCCAAACTGTGGCCGGGAAGGTGACCCTGGTGCCATGGGAGCCACCACCGGGTCACGTCACTACCGCTGTCTGCAGTTCGAGTCATTTCTGCAAAGAGCGGCTGTGTCCTGCGTGGTCTGGCCAGGGGGAAGAGCCAGCCCTGGCTGTGTTAGACAAAGAAATGTGTTGCAGATAAGAAGCTTCCCTGCCTTGGCGCTGCAGCCGCGCACAGCCTGTCTGTACATCCCCAATGATTTTTCACATCAGTTGTCTCCCCTTAGTTTTCACATCTGTGCTGCTATGGTTACTGAGAGCCTGAAAGGTTTTAAATCTCCCTCAGAGCAATGGAGGATTTCAGGAGTAATCTTGTTAAGAGATGAGCAATGAATATTTCCAAAGGCCTTCTGCATGAATATCTCGTTCCATATTAGCTTATGTCCACTGACAGCGGGGAAAGCAAAGCGCAGGGGGACTGTGTGCAAGGAAGGGAAGAAACCAGAGAAGGATGAATGCGGTGACTTGTTTTCCACTGCAGCCTTTTGTGCCCAGAATGATGTGCCTAAATACTGTCTTTTTGAAGGAGAGCTTGGCCAGCCAGCTTGGGTCAGGTATTATTAAAAAAAAATAATAATTAATTCTGTGTTTCCCCCAGGGAAAGACTCACGAGACCTTTATGGGCACTTGGAGGTGGGGACACTCATGGATGAGTCCTACAGAAAAGCCCCGCATCCCACGAGCTGTGCGTTGGACTGTGGGGACCCACCGAGCTGGTGAGCGAGCCAAGCTGGCTCTTGGTTTCAGCAGGGCTGCGGGAGCAGCCTGGATCTGGCCCCTTTGGATTTAGTAACTCAGGTGGAGTGTTGGATCCACCCATGGGGGCTGGAGCACGGCGGGGGCAAAGCCTGTGCCAGTGCTGAGCCGGAGCGTACGCCCGCGGGAGAAGGGGACAGTGACGGCCCAGGGAGGGAGGGAGGGAGGCAGTGACCTGCCTGCAAGGGATCGGGGAGGGAGAACAGCCCTGAGGTGCTGGCAGGGAGGAGTGCAGGCAGCGGGAGGAAGGGTGAAGGGATGACGGCAGTGATGGGCAGGAGCTGGGATGGGCACGAACGAGCTGGGGGTGGGTTTGGGGCAGGTAGAACTTCACACCCAGAGTTCACAGGCAGGTCTGGAGCAAGAAGTGCTTGCATACGTGTGACAAGAGGGTTCTTGGTCATCCTTACCCCAAAGCCAACCCTCTGCAGGGCCAACAGCCACGGAGTGGTGGGGTACCCTGGGGGGGAGGTGAGGGATGGTCCCCAAGGTCCCAGCTGGTGCCGGGGCACAGGGTGAGCAGCGAGCTGAGCTTGAAACACCAGCCGGCCCCTGCCCGAGCGCAGCCCCCGCCGGCTGGGCAGCCTTCAACAGTCAGGAGAGGGCAGTTTGGGGCAGAACACTGGAAAATGGTGTGTACGGTATTGCTTCCCACCATGGGCTGGTGGGGGAGAGCCAGGGAGCAGCAGCAGACGCAGGGACACAGGGAGGAGGGCAGAGGAGGCAGCTGGACCCCCGCTCCTGGGAAAAGCCAACAGCACTTAGTACAGGAGAAACTGGGCTCTGCACAAGTAACACACTCCCCTCCCGCTGCTGTTTGCAGCCTGGGACGTGGGACACGGTGGTTGGTGCCTCTTCTGTTCTGAACCAGCCTGTGCAGCTGCCCAGGAGGGACAGAGCTCCTGTGCTGGAGGGGTATGAGCAGAGCTCTCCCAAAAAAAAACGTCCTGATGTTTACAAACATTCATTTTTATTTCACTAGCAAGCTTTATGCTTGGTGCCTTAAGTGAGCGTGTGACCCAAAAGAGCACATGAATGTTTCCCACCAGCTGAGTGCTCCCCAGCTCCGCTGCCAGACACGGCTCCGCGGCGGTGCTGAGATGTGCTTCACTAAGACAATTTGCAAACCTCAGGAACAGCCCGTGCTGCATCTGGATGTGTTTGTGGGGAGTTCATATGATTGTAGTGATGTGGGTGCTGGTCTCTTCTGCCAGGTGGCTGGAGATAGGACAAGAGGAAATGGCCTCAAGTTGTGTCAGGGGAGGTTTAGGTTGGATATTAGGAAAAATTTCTTTACTGAAAGGGTTGTCAGGTATTGGCACAGGCTGCCCAGGGAAGTGGTTGAGTCACCATCCCTGGAGGTATTCAAAAAGTGCGTAGACAAGGCACTTCAGAACATGGTTTAGTGGGCATGGTTGATAGTTGGACTCAATGATCTTGAAGGTCTTTCCCAACCTAAATGATTCTATGATTCTAAATCTCAATGCTCAGCTGTCACAGTTCAGAGGGGACGGTGGCTGCTGAGGAAGCCAGGAGCAATTTTCTCCAGCACGGTGCTGGAGCAGCCAGTGCTGGGCATTGTTCCAGTCCTGGACACGGTGCCCCAGTAACCCGCACTGCCCAGCGAGCAGATCAGCACCACACAGTCACACGCGGGGTGAAGTGCTTTCCTAGCTGACGGGAGCGGTGTGCCTTGCCCATTGCTCGCAGGCAGCAAGGCATCATTACAACTGTGGTGGCAAACAGTTTGCAGCACCGTGATGCATTTGCCTGAGTCTGGGCCAGCTTCTGGGAGCCGATACACCACTGACTCCTGCGCTGGGATGCCCAGTGTCCCAGCACCCCATGCTTTTGTACCCCATAACAGGACACAGAGGCAGCAAAGGCAGCCCATGCCTGCAGGATGCTTCCACCCCCTGCCACCCACTTGTGCCCCTGCCCATGGTTAAATTCATGGTGTATGTGAGAGCGGCTGCATTTTCAGCAGG